TATATATATATATATATATATATATATATGTGTGTGTGTGTGTGTGTGTGTATAAAAATACCCTGTGCATTACCCCTATATAATTATCCTGCTAAATAAGAGACTTAAGCTTTCATATGTATGTATGGCGATGCACTGTATATACCCCATGCACATTTTCTTCCTTTTAGCAACTTCTTCTTCTTTTTGACTATTAAGCTAATGTAACGACTACATTTCTCCACTGTGAGATCAATAAAGTCAATCAGTCAATCAATAACCTCAAGCTAGTTGCAGAGGCAAATATCCCGGCCTATAGGAAGAGTTCAGTAGAGCGCCTAAGGTGGTTGCCTACTTTCCCTATATGGTAAGTCCACCTATAGGCTACAAGCTTTTTTTGTATATAACTTTGTGGGTAAGAGTGCAGAGCTGTATACTGTTGTCTGCTGGGTAGCTTTTTGATAGGGAAGAACAGGAAACATCTGAATGAGCTGATCCACAGGGCTGGTTAAGTCTTGGAGAGGAACCTGGGGTGAAACATCAATGAAACGTGCTCCTAGAGGAAGGCATGAAGGATCCTGGTCTGTGACAGTCCCCCCTTTCACCTTTTCCTGGATGGGCAAGTGAGCAGCTGAAACCAAAGGCTACTGTCCCTACTCTGCAGGACTGAGCGCCTCAGGACGTCATCCATCTCTCCTGCCATCCAAACACACAACCCTAACTCACTAACTAATGACCTGCCTGATTGTATTGCCTGGTGTGTTGAATTTCTGCACGTCTGATAGGCTAACAATAGAGATATTATTGAATCAAGAAGAATCCAGAATGTTTATTGTTATTATGGACCTATAAGGAAATTTTACCAGGTCCCTTAGCTGAGAGCCTATGACTGCATCTAATCTACTATGAACCCTTTGGCCTTTTTCCTGGAGCCCAGCTTTGATATGTGGTGAACCCCGTTCTGCAAAGAGACTCATCATTGTTCGTTATCAGACCCACCACATTGGTGCCATCAGAGAACTTAAAATTAGTGTTTTTGCTGTGGATGGCCGGACAGGTAAAGAAGTTACCCTAAAGTTTTGCTCAGGAACCCAGAGTGCAGGCTGTGGGGATCAAACTGTGTACTTGCAGCCTTCTAAGAACACAGGTGCACTGCTCTAACCACTAGGCCAACACTCCCCATTAATACTACCTCATTTTTTGTGCACAGGCATAACAATGGAGGATTTCAGGGAGGCAGGGGTCACAGAAAGCTGCAGGAAGAAGTTGATGTCCAGAAAAACAGCTCCAATCTGATCAGCACACGGTTTAATAGTTGGACCTGACACCCTGTCTGGATGCAGCCTGGATGATGTTAACTTTCCTCCAAAATGTGGCTCTCAACTTATGGATGTAGCTGCAGGACATGAGGCTGTTTCTCAGGGTTCCACAGACTATGAGAATGAATTTGTTTCTAAGTATGTGTAATTGGAGTGTAAGTAAATTGCCATTTATCTATTATGTATGTAATTATTATGTATATAAAAAATCAAATACAACTTGACATATGTCATTGTGTGAATGTATTTATGAATGGGTGAATATCAGAGAAGCAAAATAATGTGCTATGCGAGTACAGGTAATTTACCATGTTATAACATGTACATAAAAAGTTCTGTTGTTTAATATTCTCTGACGTGGTCACAGTTCTCAGTATTTAGCTTTTGTATTTAGAAAAGTATTAAATAAGGCCTTATATCTTTCAATTTTCTAAATGTAAGTTTTTTTTATATTTTCTCCTTTCTGCTCCTTCTTTTAGTTATCATCTGTCCTGCTGTATTTTTGATCCTATTAAATCGTATCTATTTCCTGCCATTATGTCACCTCTTCCACCACTCTTTCTTCAGTTTTTGATTGGTATCCATTTTCTCTGATTTATGTTTGCAAATTTCTTCCTCTAGTTGGGTGGGCCAATTGCATCCATTTAGTTTCATGGTACTAGGGCTGGAAAGTAGTTGCACGTATGACTATGATTATGTAAACATGGTGTATACTATTCTAACAAGAAATGTAAACCATGTTAGTCTTAAATGTTGCTTATAGTTTTAATTCATATTGGCTAATGCTGAAAACAGGGGGTTAGACTTTTACTTTAAAGCATGTTATTTAAAACTATTTGATATGAGGGATGGTGAGTATAATGGAAATAGATGGGATGATCAGATGAGGAAAACCGGAAAGAAGCTTCATAGATATGGGAGAAGTTGCAGACGGTTTGATATAAGAGAGATGCTTTGATAGTAGAAATGATCAGCTTCAGAAAATGTTTAATACAGCAGCTACACATATGTCCCAAAAGTGCATAATGTCACATGGAAAGTAGCTTAAGAAAACAGGTGTCTTAAATTAGCACTATATAAATAATTATACTTAGTTTAGTTTAACTCACCTAAAAGATACAGTGAGGTAATAAAAAAT